TCCCCTTCCCTGGCATTGCCAAAAAAGGGAGCAGCAAATTAATTTATGTCCTAACCCTGCAACAAATTTGGTCACAGATAAAAAAAAAACAAAACCCTAAGATTAAACTTGCAACTTACCTAAAAGTTACAATTGTGAAACCCCACTAACACAAATATCATGATTGGTATTTTGCAGAGAGAAAGCTGAGGTGCAGGGAATGGTATCAGTTCACCCATAACTTCAGGGAGCCCATGGCAGAGCCAGACTTTAATGGATTTTCAGCAATGTCCCTTAAGATTAGCCAACATGCTTTTGTGATAAGTGCTGGGAAATATAAATCAGTTGAGGAAGTTCTGCAAAATGTGTCAGAAGACAATTTCCTGATTTAAAAAGAAAAAAAAAAAGTGAAAAAGCACCAGGGGTGGACAGTTCCATTTCTAATGCCTAACAAGGAAGAAATCACTGCAAGCCTGAGACTTTCGGGCTACTTGGATTGGGTGGCTTAAGGGAACTTACGCAGGTTTACATCCAAGTTACACAAACTTGGAGGAAGCAGATTACTCATGGAATGGCCTGAGCCATGCATGTGAGATGGATGCAAAACACTCAAGTTTTTATGCATCTCCAACAGGGTTTGAGCAAATCAGAGCTGCTTCCCCCAGCCCCCAGAGTGAAATCAGTGCCAGAATCATGTTGTTCAGCAACCAAGTTGGGACCGTCTGCAACTCATTCCCAAATCCTCAGCTTCACTCAGGAGCATTTTCTCCAGTGATAAGGCTCCATCAGGAAACACAGCTGGATGGAGGAAGGAAATTCTGAGAAGCAAAAAAAATAGTGGGGGTTCCAGGAAGTTCAACCAGATAGGAACTAATGGAATTTGTTTTTCTGTCTCCCCAGCTCCCAGTGTTCCTAAGCAAGTGAGAAAATCACAGGGAAAAGTGGTGGCAAAAAACAAGTCTGGCAGATCTTAGCCTGCAAAACAGGTCCTCACTGCAGGTCTCCAGAGAGCATCATAATTACAATTCAATATTTTCGATCACTTGCTCTCCCTGGGAAAAACTGCAGACGTTTTCAATTTAGGTCCACTCTGAAGCCCAGCCATTGTTTTCTTCCCCACCTCGTTTTTTTGACTTGTATTTTTTTTGTGTGTTTAAACAAAGGTCCCTGTGTAGTTTATTAAGGAGGTTTGAGTTGGACACACGATTTATCAAAAATAAGTTTTAAAAAAAGACTGTTATGTTGAACATTCAGGAGAATTAAAAGTTGTAATTGCCTCTGATTAGTAACACATATCCCAGAACCATCAAAACAACAGCATTGTAGTTTTATTACTTCTAGAGAAACTCCTTTTGACCCTCAGGGGCAAACAGCATTTCCTTCCACATCCTTTGCAATTCCCCTCTTTTGCAATCTTTACAGTCCAACTCCCTCTTCCTTTGATAAGGTAGATAATCCAAGTTTCAACATTCCCCACTTACTGCTGTAGAGCTGGTGTGGAACAAGAGAAAGGATCCATTACCAGAGCATTCAGAAGAGCCAGGATTATCCTGCTGGTCCAGAGACCATCACTGAGCCTTGAGTTCTCCCACTAATTCCCCTTGGAGCATAAGCACAGATGGAATTCCCTGTGTTTTGCTTTTTTCTTCTCTTTTCCTAACCTCTGGCTGGTGTGACACCAGCCAGACCTAGTGCAACAGTAGGGAGGTTTAGATTGGATTTAGGAAAGAATTTCTTCATGGAAAGGGTTGTCTAGCACTGGAACAGGCTGCTCACAGAAGTGGAGGAGTCACCATCCCTGGAAGTGTTCAAGAAACACGTGGCTATAGCACCTGAAGACATGGCAAAGTGGTGAACAGGCTTGGAATTGAAGATTGTAAAGGTCTTTTGCAGCTTTAACAATTCCATGATTCTATAATGTCTTCTGCCCCTTAAGTGATCTCTTTTATCCACCCTCTGAAATTTTGTCATGGGTTTAAACTGGAGGCTTTAGGGAAGGCTGATAATCAAGACTCTGGACAAACTCCTGAGGAAATTGCCATAGCTGACCCTGCTCTGAGCAGGTGACTCCTCTGGAGAACTCCAGGTCCCTTCCAGTCCCAGCAATTCTGTGAAAAGCAGCTCCTGCATCTTCCCACGAACTTACACCCAAGTTTTTCTGATCTCAGACTGAAACAAATAGAAGTAAGGGGAAAAGAATTAAGCTGAAAATCTTTGTCAAAAGATCAAGAGTGGAACTTTAGCTCTGTTAGGGTCATTCAGTGCACATCAAATGTGTGCTGAATGCTTCTCAAGCTGCACCTCTGAGAACAGAGGAGGGAGATGATACCTTAGAAAGAGACTCAGAGACAGGACTTCAAGCTATAAAATCATGGAATGGGTTGGGTTGTGTTGGGTTGGAAGGGACCTTGGAGATCATCCAGATCCACTCTCTGCCATAGGTGGGGACACCTTCCACTACCCCAGGGTGTTCCAAGCCCCATCCAGCTTGGCCTTGGACACTTCCAGGGATCCAGGGGCAGCCACAGCTTCTCTGGGCACCCTGTGCCAGGGCCTCATCACCCTCACAGGGAGGAATTTCTCCCCAGTATCCCACATAACTCTGCCTTCTGTAAGCCATTCCCTGCATCCTGTCCCTCCCACGTCCTTGTAAATAGTCTCTCTCCATCTTTCTTGCAGCTTCTTTCAGGTACTGGAGGGCCACAATTAAGTCACCCCAAAGCTTCTCTTTTCCAGGCTGAACAATCCCAGCTCCCTCAACCTTTCCTCACAGCAGAGCTGCTCCATCCCTCTGATCTTCCTGGTACCTCCTCTGGGCTTGCTTCAACAGCTCCAGGAGTTTCTGGGCTGGGTCATGTCCAGCTCTCACCCACCAGCATCCCCAAGTCCTTCTCCCAGGGCTGCTCTATCCCTTCATCCCCAGACTGGATTGATCCCAGGGGTTGCCCTGGTCCAGATGCAGCACCAGCACTTGGTCTTTTTAAATCCAGGAGGTTCCTGTGGCCACTGCTCCAGCTTTTCCAGGATCAACTTCCATGTATCCTCTCCATTGCACCCACAGCTGGGAACCTGCAATCAGATTCATGGATAGGAGCAGCTCTGGCTCCTGTGGAAGTATGGAAGTCCTTATCATGTCATCAAGGAAAGCAGCCCAGGGTTGTAGGAGTTGAAATTTGAAGGGAACTGGAGCCTACCACAACCTGCAGGCAAACCTAGAGCTCTGCTGGGCACCAGAGCCCTTCCTACCTCATCTCCATGTAGGAACAACTCAGTTCCAGGGGAATGGCAGCACCTTCCTGCTCCTGCAGGGAGCTCTGTGCCACAGCAGGGAAATGCCCAGAGCTCAGGGATTTCAAACCAAAGGCAAACACAGGGAATTCCTGCAAAGCCTCACAGGGCACTTCCCTTTGTGCCACCTTAAGGACCAGGCTCCAGAACATGATGGAAAGGGATCATAAGAGTTCATGGATGCAGTGCAATGAAACTGCTCAGAGCTGGAGGGCCTGAGCAATGCACTTCTGTTCTGTGCAAACTCCACAGATCTCTGATCCATGAAGTGAAGGAGAAGGGGGAGCTGGGGGAAGCAATTGTGCTGTCTCTGGCTTCCTCCCCCTGTGGCTGCTCAGCAGCAGCCAGAAGACAACAATGCAGCTCCAAATTCTGTTCCCTCCTGCCTAGATTTGCATGAGGAAATTTGGGTGCTTAGGAGGGAACAGTCTGTGACTTTTCTGCCAGGAGTTTGAACCATTTCAGGAAATCTGCACAGCAGCCATCAGCCAACCACTGCATCTGTCAAGGGATTGGCAAAAACATGCACAAACTTAGACACCCTTCATAAAATCTGTGTGATTTCCAGTGTTTATCCACAAAAGAGCAAATGTTCTGCAGGAAAAAATCCCAGAAGAAGCAACTTTCCAACTGTGAATTTCAAAAGATGTAGAACATAGAGAGAAAACAATACCAACTACTTGAGACAACTCATGAGTGGGCAAAATCTGCTCCCTCAACCCCAGCAGTGCTGAGCAGCTTTAAATCCCAGTTTGTCCTGCTTCCCACTCATCTGACAGCAAGGAAGCCAAGGAGAAGATCCAGGGCATATTTAGGTGATCAGAAACAACAGGGCTCCCTGGTACAAGTTTACCCACAGGATGTGAGAGCTCCAACAGCTCTCACAGACTGGAAGTTCCCAAATCCTTATTTCAGCTCCAAGTGACCTGCAGTGAAGTTCCACAACAATTTCCAAGAGCACAAGGAGCAAGGTGTCACACTGCAGTGTATTCCAGAAATTTCCACTCCATTTCAAGCCCCATCTTTCCCTTAAAACCAGAGATTTCCAAGAACTTGGAATCAACAGGGCAATTCCTGCAATATATTAATTTGTGCTTTTCCAGATGTTATTTTTTTCCAAAGAATTTTTCTGGATATGTTGGTCAAGTCACAGTTATTTTATCCACTGATTGAGCTGGTCTGTGCTCTGCAAGTGAAAATGCTAATGAACACATAAATAAAATAAAAACTGGTCCAAACCAGGATCTCATTACCCAAACTTAGGGGAAAGGTCTTCTCATCAAATATTTATCACTGTTCAGGCCACCTCTGAATCTTTTGCAGCTGCTCAGGCTTTTGCAATTTTTGTGGAAACAAGGGCAGTTTGTGGAGATTTCCCAGCTGCTACTGAATGTCCAGTTTTATTTTGGATATTCATGGATCTTTCACAGAATCATTTAGGTTGGAAAAGACTTCTGAGAGCATCAAGTCCAAGATGTGACCTTTCAGGTCAAGCAAATTCTTCTTTGTGATATACATTTCCTACCAAAAAATTAAAATACTGGAGTTCCTGATCTCCAAAGAAGTTATATCACGACAATCCACAAAAACAGGAATTAAATTTAACCTTATTTCTTCACAGTTCAAGCACAGCACTTCAAGTAGAAAAAACAAATTGGCAGAAGACATTTGGATATTTTGTTATAAAGGATAATAAACAAGGAAACAAGAGAAATGAGAAGATTCTTGTTTACCTGGATCTTGGCACTCTTCTGCCTTCTCCCAAAAATGCAGGACAGGTCCTGTTCAGTGCGTGATGAGAGATCCTTACCTGGAAGGGGTAAAGAGAGGGAAAAACCCCAAAACCTTCACATCTGAGGATGCATTTTGGTAACAGTGTCACACACAGACAGAGAGAAATTGCTCTTGGAGATAAACAAAAATCAGGAGGTCCAGGTTGGATGGGGCTTGGAGTAACCTGGGATAGTGGAAGATGTCCCTGCCATGGCAGGGGGCTGGAATTAGATGAACTGTAAGGTCCTTTCAAACCCAAACCATGCTGTGGTTCTATGCTAAAGTGACTAAATGAAGGTACACAAGAGGAAATGTGTGTATGCATTGGGATCTTTGGATTCTCACGAGGATTCCCTATTTCTGACACAATTAGGGAGTTACAGCTCCTCCACACAATGAAAAAAAAATCAATTTTTATTCAGTGGGGACTTTTCTCCGACTTCTGATGTTGCTCTTGAAAAGCAACTCCACCTCTGCCACACACTGGGTTAGTCCAACTCAAAACCATTTCAAGGGTGAAGCAAAGATTTCCAGGAGGGCCATTACTGCCATCTGATTGTTGTGTGGTGAGCTGGATATCAGACATGGAGCAAGGAGAGGGAAGCAGGAGAGTGTGATTTGATATTCAGAGATACAGGCAAAGGTTTAACCAATTCCACAGTGCAGGAGTTGAGTTGTCCACTGACTCTGTCAGAAAATTCTTTTGGAAAAGGTCAGCAAAAGTTAAAGAAACAAAATTAACTCAGACAGGTCAACTTGTTAAGACTCTGCTGGTGTCTCAATCACTTGAAAATCAGTGACCTCAAAATGAATCTTGTAATGGCCAAAAAAATCCAAAACAAAAAACCAAAAAAACAACAAAAAAAAACCCCACCAAAAAAAAAAAAAAAAACCAAAAACCAAACCAACAAAAAAAAATTCCCAAATCTTCCTTTTCCTGGGATCCTTAACTGTCCCTGCAGGGTAAAGAGACACATCAGCCTAGAGGAGCAAGTGTTCCCCAGCTTCCTGCTGCCTCATTGCACTGCCTCAAAATGGCCTTGTCCAAGCAAGCTGGAAGACACTGGGGTTGTTCTCAGTTTTCTCTTGGCCAAGGCTTGGAATGTGACACCTAAAATCCTCCTGCTCCTGTTTTCAGACTCTGCTTCTTTTCCGTGCCTCCTCCTGGACATATCTCCCCCATTTTTCCTCTAACAGAAAACCAACTCAGCTGACAGCCCCCATCTCCTGCAGCATCACAGGGGAGAAGCTACTAGAAAAGCAGCTGATTTAATCTGAGCGTGGGGTGTATTTCCCAGATCCAGGGGTGGCTGTTCCTCCAGCAGTGAGGCTCCAAACCAGCCCCGGGAGCGGAAGCCGCGTTTGGTGCCGTCGCTGTTCCCTTCTCCCGCTTTTGTGTGAGCTTGTCTTGTTTAGTCTGAAAGGAAGCAGGACTGGACTTCAACAACAAGGGCCATGACAACACGAGCTTTTCTCAAATAACTTTTCCTCTTTCACTGAAAAAGGACAATTTCCCTGTGTCAGGCCACAGAGGGTACAAGCAAATGAGGGGCTGCCTTGTGGAAATGTGACCAAACAAATCAGGAGTATTGTGAATATGAAAGCCTCGAGCTGTGTTTTACATGCTCAAAAGACACTTCTTTTTTCCTCTATATTTAGTAAAAGGTTAAATCCAAATCAAAATAAATCCTCTTTGCTCAAACAGGCCATGGCCTCTGTACTTGCAAGCCCTGAACCAATTTAATTGTTTAATGTCATAAAGTGGCAGGCTCATGTTAACAGCTCGGACTTCAAGGTCGAATTATTTCACCAAAAATCCCAAACCCTGATATGAAAATCTGGCCTCCATTCAGATATCAATTAGCTCTGTTTTAGCAGAGGCATTTGCTGTCAGAAAACATTACACAGAGCTTTCAGTTTAATAAATCAGCCATTAGTGGAAACTGATCCTATCCATGCCCTGAAATGGGCACACACCGTGTGAAAGGGGAACAGAGCAAAAGGGAAAGGACTGAACAACTGTCAAGGGCCAGAACCTGGGCTGACTGAAATAATGTCATCACTCTAAGAAAGAAAGAAATTACTCAACTCCACAAGTTCTTGATAGAGTTTTTCTGGCTGCCCTAATTTATGCCACAAAGTACCTGGTCGATGTAACAGGGCTTTCCTCTTCCTTCATGAAAGTTTAATCTGATCCCTGATCTCATCCACATGATCTCTGAGCAGGGGTTACTGGGGATTGCAGGGGTTAGCGCCACGCAGATGCCCAAGTCACTCTCATCTCACCTTTGCCTTCTGCCCCCATCCCTGTCCATGCCCTGACCACTCGGAATATTTGCTGCTCCTTTATTCAGTTCCTTCACTAGGGAATTGTTTTATTCCTAACACCAGCAGCCCAAGGCCACCCAAAACTGCCCAAAATAAAGAGGAACAGCATATTAGAGCTTTAAGCAAGTAGCCACAGGGGGTGTTTCTAAACCCAGGTTTTACTTGCCAAATTTAGACTCCACAAGGCAACAGATCACCTTGAGCAGGGTTTGTTCTAATCTTGGCCAGGGCTTATGAAACAACAAAACTCCTCTTACCTTTGGCAAACTTCATATAATGGACACGTTTCTTGGAAGATTTGGATTTTTCTTCGAGGCTGAATGTCTTTTTCTGCTTTTTCACTGAGAATTCTAAAAAAAACAGACCCGAAACAAAGAGGGTCCAGTTCTGTTAGAGGCACTTAAGCACCAAATTCAAACATCAGTTTATTTAACCTTCTCTCTCAAAATCCAGTCAACAAAATATCATCAAGTATTACTGAAGAAAGCACGCTAAGTTTTGTCTGAAATATGTCAATGCTTGATTTTTTTTTTTTTGCCCCATCCCCTTTCTCTCCCATTTCCACTCCAATGTAATTTGAAAAGGCAGATACAGGTACTCCAGGTCAAAGGCAAACCCATCTCTGTGGTAAGAAAATAATAACAGTGCTGTTTTTCATAGAGTATCCCCAGCACCAGAATCTGAGAAAGATGTAAGAAATAGTAGGAAATAAAACACTGATTGAGCAGAAAGAAAAAGGGGGAAATCCCCCCACCCCAACAGGATTTTAATTTCTAACCCTACACAAAATACCTTTATTTGGACATAAGCTGATACATCTGTGTAAGGAAACTGAATGGTGACAAAGCTTTTCTGTCCCTAAGGCCAGCTAGAACAAATTGCCACATCCCTATTATCTCATTTTCCAGGCTTCCAGAAGAGGGACTGCATCTAAACTGTCCTCTGGGAATGGTTTCTGGGGCTGGCTCAGTCCCACAGTCACTCAGCAGTACTTTGGGAGACTGTGAGCAGGTTAAGGCCATGTGAAGGATTAAGCTCACTATTTAACAGCACAGAGATCACGTTCCTCTGCTGTGGCAGGTTATTTTGGAGGTACAAATGTTCTCCTTGCAGTCACAGAACCTGTTAGTTTACAAAACATTGCCAGAAAGAGAGAACTAACCTGTTGTACAGTTAATTACTGCCTTACTAGTCCTGAAAAGAGGCAGCACAGGAGTCTCTGCTCTGTAACTCCACAGAGAGTTACTATGGTGAGGTGTTTTTTTCCTCCCTGTGGGATGGGTAGGGAAATCAACCCATACCCTGAGGGCCAAGTTGAGTCACCTTTTTCATATGATCCCACCCTGGAAAGCTCTGCTGCCCAAGCTTTTCTGACACTGGAACTCCAGCACTTCCCTGTTTGAAAGGGAGTGCCACCTGATCAATCCCTGAAATCCCCAGCCTGCAGTGGGAGAGCTGAGGGCCAGCAGGCTGAAACCCACTCTCCCACTCCCACACTAATGGGAAGAGAAAGGACCAGCAAATCCAGTTTTTAACAAAAAAATGCTCAATAAAAACGGTCTGTGGGGAAAGAAAGGATCACAACTAAAATATCCTGACAGCCATGCAGCACTTTGAGCCTGGCTTCCAATCTCCTGGTAGCAAAAGGAGCATTACACAGCAAAAGGTTTCCACAGAGCCTTCCTCCTCCACGTTATTCCTACAGGGAAAGGGGCAGCAGCACCGCCTTGTGCCTGCAGTGAGGAACTTCACTACAGAACGTGCTGGCACTTGCAGTGGGCAGGGAAATAACATTCCTGTGTCTTCCAGGGACTGGAAAATCCTCTGACAAACTGAGTAAGTGCTGCAGGAGTATTAGCGTGCTTTTTAAAGCAATTTAGACGGGGCAATAAAGCCACCAAAGTGGCATTTCTGCAGCAAACGTGATTGAGGTGGATGTGCCAAAGCACTGCAGGGTGTTGTTCCCACTTTTAATCCATGGGAAAGGGTCAGTCACCATCACTGAGGATCACAGCAAAAGAGTCAGGAATTATAGAATGGTTTGGGTGGGAAAAGGCCATGGAGTCCCAACAAACTTCCACTATCCCAGGTTGCTCCAAGCCCTGTCCAACCTAGCCTTGGACACTTCCAGGGATCCAGGGGCAGCCACAGCTTCTCTGGGCAACCTGTGCCAGGGTCTCACCACCAGAAGATGAATTTCTTCCTAATATTTAATCTAATCTAAACCTGCCCTCACTTGGTGCCCAGCTAGGAAAAAAACAAAAGGAAAAGACAGCTAAAGCTACAGACACTGAGGGTATCTGAATGTTGGCATCAGCCCCATGGAACCCTTCCTTTCCAACCTCTAATTGCAATCCAGCTCTGGCAACTGCACCGGTTCTTTAAGAACAATGAAGTTTTTCAGCTGACTTTTAATGCAGTTTGAAACTGGAGGGTGGCCAATAATGTTACATTTGCTCCTGCAGCACAGCTGCAGGCAGAGTCTTTTCCTGGATGAGTTTTGCCAGCTTCAACAATTGCGAAAAAAACAAGTTCCAGAGCAATGCCTTTCTGTAAATCACCAAATGTGACTCTGACCTGGAATTTCCAAGGTGCACCCAAATTTGTTCTCAGTGATTGAAAACTTGTCCCAACTCCTAAAAGGACAAAAAACCTGAGTGAAACAGGGAGAAATAAGAGTTCTCACAGGTCACTTTGCATGAGGTGACCCAGGGAAGAGAGCAGAGCTTAGGGCCAAGCCTTGCTCCTTGAACCTGCCTCTGCTGACTCACCGTGGGCCTGGCAAGTCATTTCGGCTCTCTGCTCATCAGTCTGCAGGTTTCCCACCAGTTACACCTCCCTGATCTTCCCAGGGCTCAAGTTGCAACTTGGGCAGGATTTAGTTCTAAAGGGAGACAGGAACTTGTGGAATTTCCCCATGAAATGCTCTCCTACCTCTCCAGGAGCTGAGTGACAGCACTGAGTCCTGGGTGGCCTCCTGATTTCACAAGGACAGCTTGCATAACAGGTTAAAAAAGGTGTTTTGAGGCATCAGGCTCAAAATTTTAATCCTGTTACTACAGGATTAGAAAATGTCCTTGCTAACTGGTTTTCCTCCTCTTCTTTCTGCATTTTCTCTCCCAGAAAACTCAGTGCTCAAAGGTTAAGAATGAATGAGTGAAGAGTTGGTAAATTCACTAATCTGGCAATTCTGCCCCACCAGCACAAGGACAGGCTGGGCCCAAACAGGAGCCCCTGTTTTAACAACACTCCAGAGAGGTGTTCAGATACAAAACCAGAGTTTAAACTGCATTTAACTAAAGGAGAGATGATAAATCACTTGATAAAACAATTTCTTCTCTAAGCTCACACATACCACAACTTCCTAACTTCATTTTCACAAAGCAAGGTCAGTTTGTAAGAAGCTTTGCAAAAATAGAAGACTTTAAAAATAGCCCTTTTGGGAAAGGGCTTGTGTGCCCCACTTGTGTGCTCAACACCAGGGCTACAAAAATCACTTTATGCCACACTCAGAGCAGAGATGTAGAACTCTGAGGCAAAAGCTACAGAGCAGCTCTCCAAGGACAGGAAAAGGGGGAATTTAAGAAGCCACTGGAGCATGGAAGCCAAGTGTGACAGTTCACCAGCAAAAGGAAGGCAAAGCATTGCAGTGCTGAGTGATTGTTGTGAGCCTTCAGACAGATTCTGGGTGCTTTATAAAGAAGGAAATGTTCCTCTAGGTACAGCCCAGGGAAAGTGTCCCAAATATTGTGATCCTGAATGAAATAAACAGGTCTAGCATTTTATGTTTTCTTTCCTCAAGAAAAAGGCTTTCTTTGAGTGCTGAGAGCAAAACTGATCCACTGAGATCCACAAATCCACACTCATGGATGGCAACACATCCTTTGGCTCCCAGTGATTTTGGGGAAGGAGTTCTCAACCTTATCCAAAATATTATTTGCATCACAAACTGGGCCTCAGGAACTTTTTAAAGACACAGAATGGAAACTCTGCTGAGCTTCCAGCATCTGATTGAGCCAAGCATGAACCTACCTGTTTCACCCTGTCCATGGCAGTTATTCAGCTCAGCCAGAAGCTGGTTGAAGTCATCCTGATGAGCAATCCAGTTGTCCTGTAAATATCACCCACATGAATACAAGGCAGAAGTCTTCTGAACCAACACAAGTTTTACAAAACAGACACTAAGACTCTTAGAAGTAAATGAATTGGATATATCCAATCCTTGTTGGTGGGAGGGATCCTGGGAAGCTCCACAGGTGGTAACAGCAACCACAGCTCCTACAGCCACTCCAAAGTGAAATGAAATTTAAAAGGGTTGTCTTGGAAATCCTCAACAATCCTGTTTGGTATATGCTACCACCAGCTGTGACTACAGATTTCACTGATATTCCCTTCAAATGCTTGTGCTTTTGCTGAAATGGGATCCATTCCCTGCCCTGGGTCTAGTGCTCACCTCGTGATTGATGGTAGCTCCCAATCCCAGCACGTCGTTTTTCACCTTAACTCTGATGTGTTCTGGATTTCCTTGCTCCTGAGCCCCGAGACCCTAAGGAGGATTTGAGGGTAAAAATGTAAGGATTTCACAGCAGCAATTAGAGCTTTTGGTCTGTGAGACAGTTCACAAGGAAATACAGCAAAAAATAACAACTTCCTGTTAATTTGCCGGCTTGTAGCTGAATTCATTCAAAGACATTACCACACAACACACAAAGTTTTTTAAATTTACTACTTAAGCCTCCAGCAAAGCATTATAAACACTAAAATAGCAACAACATTAAGTAGTTGGGTGATTAATCAGGAAGCCACCTGACATTCCTAAGCAAGCCCAGATTGTTTCCAGTTTTCAAACAAGACTCTACATAAGAAGAACGTGCCTTCTTCTTATGAAGAAGAACACCATTTAGGTGTGAATTCCATATTGATTCCATATTCTCCCCAAAAATGTCTCTGTCACTGGGAAAGGTGAGGCAGATCCACACAGAACACACAATCCAAACCGAATTTATATGGAAGGAGAGCAAGGAGGGGCAGGGGAGAAGCAGACTGGAGCCAGCAGGACATTCACAACTCCTTCCACCTCAAAAGTGGATGAAAATACTGGAGCAAACAACTTTGGGATTGTTTAATATGCAGCAATATTCAGGTCCAGGGTTATCTTTCTCAACTCCATGGTCAAGGCTAAAAAATTAAAAGGCAACACTTTGGGTTTAAAACTTGGTTCCTGGTATTTACCTGGTTTTTGTCTCATCTGTCACAAATCATCAGCCAAATGTCTTAGAATTAATAAACACTTATATAGTGCTGCAGTGGAGAGAAGCCCTGCAACCACATCCTGGATATGGATATGGATATGGAAGATTTGAATGGATGAGGCCTGTTTGGAAAAGGCTTTTGCTGTTACAAACAAAGAAGAGTTTATTTGGTCAATGGGGTGGAAAATTTGCCTTGAAACTTCTGCTGACCAAAAAGTATGGAAACAAGCAGGACACTTGGCCACACATCCTTCCCTGACCAAATTCCAGTACAACCACTTACAGGATTGGTGTTAAGCAGCCTAATTTCACTGCCCAGATGGGTTTTTGCCCCTTAATTTAATCAAGGGAAAGTTCAATTTGACCAAGTTTGTAATGGAATGGAGACATAGATCCTTCTTGTACAACTGCTGGCCAGGAAGATCCAGTATCTTGAGTGGGAAACGTTGTGAGACAACTGAGGCAACAGTTTAAATCCAAAAATAGGCTTTAAGGCATTTACATAATTGAGAGTGATCCTAATTTTATGCCTTTTAAGGAAAGTCTGGAAGAGGAAATCTAGAAGAATAATTAAAGTTAGTGAGGGTTTTGTGGGGATTCTTGTCACTGAACACCCTGATGTGCAGCCCCCAATCTCAGCTTTGCTGAGGCACCTCTGTGGAATTAAACCTGCAGTTTGCAGGTGTCTGTGCTGACCTTGAGGTTTTTATTAGTGCCAGAAACCAGTCCCCTCACCCACAGGTCCTGGTTACAGCTGGGAAGGGACACAGCTCACAGCATTTTAGGAGGTTCAAGGAAGAGATCAGAAAAAAAATCTTAAAACTAAAGCAGGTCCTGGAGTTTCTTTAAAGAGTACTAAAAGCAGGAAGAGAATTGAGGGTTTAAAGGCAGCTTAAAACCTTTAACCCAATTAAATGTTCCAACTCCTGCTCTCACTTGGGAATTTAGATTGTCAAAGAATGGAGAGAAACTGGAAAGCAGGAGAGGCACAAACAAGACTTTGTAACAAAGTGTAGAAATCTATCACTGCTCAAATTCCCTGTGCACTTAAAAGAATAAATCAAAACTGTCCCCTGGCAGTTTTAGACCCTTCAGCTACATTGTTCTCCTTTAGATCCTACCTTTCCTTTGGACCAGCCCATCTTTTCCAGCATCTTCTGGCCAAATTTGGAGTCATCGTTGCTCCAAGCGCTGTTCCGTGGATCCACGGACCATTTCTGCCTTCTCCGGGCTGCAGCAGGAAGGGAAAATTCAAACAGGCTCTAGTGGCATTCCCAGAGAGTTCTTGGTATTGAATCACAACAACCAAAGCTCTTCATTGCAAAAAAAAACACCGCAGAACTTATGCCAGACTCGATATGTTTTGGGGGTTAATTTTACTAAATGAAAAAAACACAACAATAACAATAAAAGCCCAGTGAAAATATTAATTATTATGGGAAGATGCCAAAGCGGGATTGCTGCGGAAGTTGCTGTCCCTCAGGATGGGCTGCAGTTCAGGGGAGGCTTTAAGGATTGAATGGGATGAGCTTTAAGGTCCCTTCCACCCCAAACTATCCTGGGATTCTGTGATTATTCCCACCAGGAAACCTTGAGAGCAGCAACTCCTCCAAGCCCTGCCCATGGTGCCAAGAAAAGATGGGAAATCAGCACTGTGGTCTGTGATTTTAAACTTCCAAATAAACTGGGATTCCCTGCTGTCCCATGGAGAACCACCCAAAGCGGGATTGCTGCGGAAGTTGCTGTCCCTCAGGATGGGCTGCAGTTCAGGGGAGGCTTTAAGGATTACCATTTAGGTGTGAATTCCATATTGACTCCAATTTTGTTTTACATCTGGCTTCAACATGGAGTCTACAGAGGAGGAGATTATGATGCTGCTTTCCCAGTTCTGGACAAAATCAATTCTCCAGGCGTCCCTCTAACCAGAACCCAGAAATTTCAGTATCTGGCTTCCTAACAAAAGCCGAATGAAAAATCCAATGTAAGTGATCAGAGAAAGGGAATGACAGAACAGAAACCTGTGGGATTTCAGCCTTTGGATTTCTCAAAAATGGTTTATGGGAAAACTGAAAAGCTGCCATAAATTATTGCAGGAATTAAGAGATCCAAAGAAGAGTCAAGGCTCCTTTGTCCTGTGTGGATTCCTAAAGAAATTACAGATTCCCAGACCCACATGTTGCCTTTCCCACCAGGAACAGCTTCCTTGAAATCAAGGAAGAGCAGTCAGCCCAGTTAACCAGTCACTTGAAGTGTGCACCTAAGCCCAGGCAGGAAGAGAACCTAAATAAACAAGACAAACAAAGAATGGGAGACAGGAAGATCACAAACTTCATTAAACACCATGGGAAATGCTGGATCAAAAATGACCGGTTAACCCAAGGCCACACAAGGCAGGGAGAAGCCAAATCCAATGAGGTGTTTTCAATGCAATCAGGAAGTCATCGTTCCCTAAAAGACAAGATTTGGGATTTGGGCCAGAGGGATTGAATATTACAGGGATGTTTGACTCATTTTTTGCCCAGTTTGTTTCATTTTTAAGGAACTAAGACTGTCAGAATTCAAGGTGGGTTTTTTTTTTATCACACTTCTGAAACTTTGAAGCTCCAAACAGTCCCCAAACAATTTTTAACTGGGTTAAGGGCCCGAGGGCTGTGAGGGGAACCCAACCTTTGCCTGGTTCACTTCTCTACAGGAAACAACTTATTAACCTCAGAGGTTCTGGCTGCCCCTGGATACCTGGCAGTGTCCAAATCCAGGCTGGATGGGGCTTGGAGCAACGTGGGATAGTGGAAGGTGCCCCTGCCCATGGCAAGGGGTGGAATGGGATGAGCTTTAAGGTCCCTTCCACCCCAAACTATCCTGGGATTCTGTGATTATTCCCACCAGGAAACCTTGAGAGCAGCAACTCCTCCAAGCCCTGCCCATGGTGCCAAGAAAAGATGGGAAATCAGCACTGTGGTCTGTGATTTTAAACTTCCAAATAAACTGGGATTTCCTGCTGTCCCATGGAGAACCACAGGCTCAGCCTGGAGAAAAGGAGGCTCAGGAGGGACCTTGTGGCTCTGCACAACTCCCTGACAGGAGGGGGCAGTCAGGGGGGGTCAGGTTCTTTTCCCTTTTCCCAAGGAAAAGGGACAGGAGGAGAGGAAACGGCCTCAAGTTGTGCTAGGGAAGGTTTAGATTGAACATGGGGGAAAAAATTCCTCATGAAAAAGTTGATCAGACATTGGAACAGCTGCCCAGGGCAGTGGTGGAATCCCCATCCCTGGAGGGACTTCAGACCCCTGTGGATGTGGCACTTGGGGACACAGCTCAGTGGTGGCCTTGGCAGTGCTGGCAGATGCTTGGACTTGGAGGTCTGGGAGATCTTTTCCAACTTCAGTGATTCTGGTTCAAGGGTTCCAGCAGATCTTACATTCCCCAGCTGAGCAGCTGCCCTTCTTTTCAATCACACCTTCAGAAGTGAATTTCTATGGCTCTTCCTGAATATCTCTCCCTGTGGAGAAGCCCCTGAAATGTTTTGCTCCCAGGAGGTTGATGGTCACAAAGCACAACGGTGTCAAACACAATTATTTCTTGAAATTAAGAGGCATTCCCTTTACCAGCACTTTCAATCTAAGTGTTGCAACCTCCTTAGCTACACTGTGGGATTAATCCTCATGTTTCTGTCAGGTTAACATACTCTGAATTTTAAATAGAGTGAGTTAGATGGAAAAAAACCCCAAACAAACTTGCTTTCATCTTTAGAGAAGTATTTAAGAAAGCCAGGAACAGCTCCATGCCATTTACAGAAAACATAATATCATCTTCCCTTTCCAAACAAACAAAATCCACTTATTAATCAATAATTTATCAGAAATGTAAATTTGTTCACTGATCTCTTTAGAGCAGGAGAGAAAACCAGGTAGAAGATTCAGCTCCTAATTTAACACCAATTTTCTGGGCTGCTTCAAAAATGATGCCACAGGCAGTGATGGAACTCTGGGAGAGCAGCACCACCCAGTGGAGAAAATCCTCATTTCTTTAGGGAATCACAGAATCATCTCAGATCACCGGGTCCAACCAACCCCCAGCACTGCCAAGGCCATCACTGAGCCGTGTCCCCAAGTGTCACATCCACGTGGATTTTAAATCCCTCCAGGGATGGGGACACCAGCACTGCCCTGGGCTGCACAACTCAACTCCTTCACTCAGATATTCTATGATCTGGAAAAGATTCATTACTAATCCCTTTCCCAAGATGAATTTTATGCTTGGAGCATGTTTTTAATTATAATTTCTGAAATTTCTCATCCAAACCCCTGCTGTGTGCCCAGAGATGGTCTGGGGGTCACAGGAAGGACAAAGCTCTGGATCCAGGCTGGGAGAGCCGGGGCCATGTTCCCTGAATGTCACCAACACCCAGCACATGGCCCTGCCACATCTCCTCATCTCCCAGCACCCACACCTGGCCCTGCCACGTCCCCTGGCTGTCCCCAACACCCACACACAGCTCCGCCACGTCCCCTCAATGTCCCCAGCACCAACACAGAGCTCTGCCACCTCCCCTCAGTGTCACCAACACCCAGCCCTGCTGCATCCCCTGGGCGTCCCCAGTACCCAAACCTGGCCCTGCCATGTCCCCTGGGGGTCCCCAGCACCAACATCCAACCCTGCCATGTCCCCTCAGTGTCCCCAGCACTCACACCTGGCACTGCCACCTCCCCTCAGAGTCCCCAGCACCAACACACAGCTCTGCCAGTCCCCTCAGTGTCTCCAACACCTGGCTCTGCCATGTCCCCTCAATGTCCCCAGCACCACCACACAGCTCTGCCACCTCCCCTGGGTGTCACCAACACGCAGCACATGGCCCTGCCACGTCCCCTGGGTGTCCCCAGCACCCACCCCCAGGCTGGAGGTGTCTCCCCTCAAACACACAGCCAGAGATGGCCCCGAGCCACCGACAGGACGAGCTGCCCCTAAAGGTGTCCAAGGGACATTCCAGCTGCTCCTGCCCTGCCTGGGACATGGCAGACCCCACAAAGAACCCCCTGCACCCCCTTATTCTGCACCAATGCCCCCCTGGAGCCCCTTCCCGGCTCTCCCAGCCTCCAGGCCCCACCTTCTCCTTAATCCTGGGACCCTCTGGGTGCCCCTTCCTGTCTTTCCCAGACCCCAAATCCTCCATTTTTCACCCCCAGGGACCCCTGGAGCCCCTCCTCTGCCCCCCTTTTCCTTGGCCCCAGGATCCCCCATGCTCCCATCCTGCCTTTCTCAGCCCCAATCCCCTCATTCTTCAACATCAGGATCTCCTGAGCCCCTTCTGCCGCCCCGGTCTGGGTCTCCCAGCTCCCAGACCCCCCCGTTTTCGCACACACTGGGCCCCCTCCGGACCCCACTCCTGCCTTTCCCAGCCCCCAACTCCCCGGTTCTTCAACACCGGAGCCCCTGAACCCTTTTCCCGGCCATCCCGGGGTCTCCCCACCCCATGACCACCTTCCCCTGACACAGGGAACCCAATTTCCTGGACAGCGGAACCCCTCATCCCACCTCTCCCAGTCCCTGCACTCCCTTTTCCTTAACTCTGGAACCTCCCGAACCGCTTCACCCAGCCCTGGGACCCCACCCCCCCCCCACCCCGCACCCCTCAGGAGGGGCAGCGCGGCCCGGACCCCTCAAGGCAGGGCTGTGGGGAGGGTCTCAGGCCGCTCCTGGGCCACCGCCTCGTCCCCATTCCCGCGGCATTCCCGCCGGGATCTGCACTCACGTTCCGCCAGCATCGCCATCTTGGGGGCCTTCCTGCGCGCAGGGGGACTTTCGTGATCTCCGGCGCATAAAAAGGGCGGCGTGGCTAGCGCCTGATTAAAAAAAAAGTTTTAAAACAGGCGAGCGCGGCGGCCACTAAAGTGAAAATTAAAAAAAAAAAAATAAAAAAAAGAAAATAAAGTTTGCAAATTTGCTAATATTGTAATAAATATCTCAAAACTCGTCTCGGCTGTGTACCGGCTGTTTCTGAGCTGGGGGAAGGGGATGAGCAGCGCTCGCTGTGTGTGGCTGGAAATAAAGAGCACGGGCAGGGGGAATATTGCAGGGAATTTCAGGTGTGGATGTCCCTGGAGTTCCCAAATCTCGCTGTCGTGGGAGGGAACTGGGGACGGATACCCAGAGGCATCTTGAGAAACATCCCCTTCCTGCCTTTCTGTGAAATGTGTGTGTGGGGAAAATACATTTTATTTTATATTTTTAATTTTTTTAATTTTATATTTTTATTATTTTCAAATTGTATTTGAGGAGTGAAGAAGCCCCTCTGAATCAAAGTGCTTCTATACAGGATTTTTTTTTTTTTTTTGGTAGTTACGTTCTTGAGCCTTTGTTCTTTCATATTTTCTGGGATTTTTAGCAGCTCTTCAGTTGTTTTATTTGAAAACCAGCACCCAAAATATGACTGAGTTCTTCAGACATCTTCCTCCTGCTCCCTTCTTGCCTGAATTTTGCATCTAAGTGCAATATTTTGTTCATTAATGTCTCTTTTATAGAGGGATAGAGGTTTTTGTGACAATTCTGTCTTTTACCCTTTACTGAATTACAGTATTTGTGTCTTTCCATGTTGTTGTGCTCTTCTGAATTGTGGCTATTTGGTGTTTCTCCTTCTCTTTCCCAGCTGGACTCACCTGGAAGTGCCCCAGGTGTCCTCAATACCTTCAGTGAGGTTGATAATGGGAGGATGGAGCCCAGAATGGCAGGGTGGGTGAGGCTGGAAGGATCCAGGGTCAGGTTGGAATGGCTCCTCTGCTCCCACCTCACTGCTCCAGAGCATAGGGCACAGGATTGTGTCTAGATCATTCTGGAATATCCCCCGTGACCTGGTGCTCCAGCCCCTTTCCCAGCTCTGTGTCACCTCATCTGCTTTCCAGTGCTCACAGGTCACTCACCAGCATCCTCACAGAGTCACTCAGGTTGGATAAAACTTCCAAATCCAACCATTCCCTCAGCACTGCCAAGGCCACCACTGCCCCATGTCCCCAGGTGCCACATGCACATGTCTTTTGAATCTCTCCAGGGATGGGGACTCCAGCAGTGCCCTGGGCAGCCTGTTCCAATGTTTGACCACCCTTTCAGTGAAGAAATTTTCCCTCATATCCAATCTAAATCTCCTCTGGCACAACTTGAGGCCATTTCCTCCTCCTTTGAGGGAGTTGTAGGAAGTCTTCTCCTCCCCTTCCACCACCACTCAGAAACTCTCTGTAGTTGCCACTCTTTGCTGTCATCTGGATCTGAAATACAATAATTTATCCCTCCCTTATCCTTCCACCTGTATTCCCTGATCCAAGTGCCCTTCCTGGCAGTGACAGCCATTTCTATGAATTATACCTCTAAGATTTCTTTTACATCAATGAAATTTTACTGTGTGTCGAGTGTTTGGATGATCGCTTGTGTGATCCATTTCACACCAGCCGAAATCTGCTCTGGTTTGAGGTTCTGGAGAGGTTTGAGTCTCCTGGCTGAGAGCTGAGTGCTGTATTTGATCGCTCCAATAGGGAGCAGCATTCCCCACGTTTGGAACAGCTTCGCTGTGGTATAAAGACATCACTGGAGGTGGAAAATGCGAAGTAATTTCTGTTAAAGGATGCCTTGAGGTTGAGATTTTTCTCTTGTTTGGTTTTGAAACTTAATATTCGGCTGCATCAGAGCACTTCTGCCTCCGGAGTTCTCACTCCTGGCTGGCAAAGAATCTCAACTGCAAACACAAAGGAGGTTGTACTTGATTTAATTATTATTTAATATTTGCTTAACGGGAAGCTTGAGGTCAAAGTCCAAATTATCCGACATAGTTCTTGCAAATTAGGAGTGTATAAAACAATTAAGTCCACGAATATGCATAGGGGCAGTGAAATTAGGCAGAGAAAAGGTTCCATCTGGGGGCAATGTGTGTTTCCCAATTACATTCTTGACTAAAAGCTGGTGTCACAGGAAAAAAAAAAAAAAAAAAAAAAAAAGTGAATGTTTGAATGTATATGTTCTGCTATGGCTTATTCCAGCCCTCTAAGAAACTAGCCTAAAATCCTGTCTCCAGTGTGCCTGGGGAGGTTGAGATATAGCTCTGGAAAATAAAAGGATAAAGATGCCTGGTGGGCATTCCATTCAGAGTTCTTCCTTGGAAAGAGCTGTTTCCTGAGAGCCAGCCCCGTGAGGATCACCCAGGGCTCAGAGTCTGAGCAGGGAATTTTCCTCCCAGCACGTCCTTACCGATTGCTGTCAGCTCCAGAGTCCCTTCAGGCTTTAGGGAATTCCTTTGGTGCCACTCCCAGGCAGAGTTGGGGTCATAGGGAAAGATCCAGGTGGGATGAACAGAGCCAGCAACATGGGAATTGAAATCTTGAGTTTCTGTGTTGAGATGACCCCGAGGTATTAGAAAGTATTTTTTCCCAGTCCTGCGACCGAAGAAGTCAAGATTCGTTGGTTCTGCTTTTCAAGGTTGTTTATTTTTTTCTGATCTATTACATTCTTTCTCTAACCTACTGAGCTCTGTCCTGCAGGTCTGGTTGTGGCACAGCACCTGCCCTTGGGATGGTGTTAACTTTTTATACTAAGAACTATGTGTAATTTATTTACAATAATTTTTCAATTAGAAAGTCTGTCTCTAAACCAATCCAGAAGTGTCACCATCCCAGCAGAAGATGGAGGGCAAGAAGAAGGAGAAGGACAGGACACGCCCAGATTCCTCCATCTTGCCTCTTGAACCCCCATTCTAAAACCCCAAAATTCTACTTTTTCACCCTGTGACAAATTAACTATCATTCTATTCAAACTCTAGTGGCTTGTAAATCTTCACACAAAGTTGGTGATTTTTTCCATGGACTAAAATTGAAGGCAGAGGTGTTTTTGACTCTGTGCCAAGGTCTCTGAGCCCCTTGCCAGGGTCTCCAATCATCCAGGGCAGCCAGAGGAATGTCCTAGGTCCCGACATTGAAACAGCAGGAAAGTGGAGGGAGGTTGGAAGCACATCTGAACCTGATACTCACCTTGTCGACCCCTTTCCACCTGGAGGAGACCCTTGGAAGGAGAGAATTACATTTCCCAGGGCTCCGTGCCGTCCAGAAGGGCCCCATTCCAACGCCCCATAAACCAGGGAGACGTGAGGAGGGAGAGGCGGCCAGGAAAAGAAAAGTGGGGGAAAAAGGAGGAAGAAAGTGAGGAAAGAAATTGCATGTGAGCCCCGGCTGTGCAACAAGTCCTTTGTGAGGCAAATCAGCCTCTGTTGTGCGATAAATGGCCTGAGGCCAGGCTGGAAATGCTTATTGAGGGAGTCCTGGGAGAGGTGTGATGGAAGCACAAGGGACAGGGACTGCCTGGAGACCTTAAAACGACAAGACAGCTTTGATTTCGGACATTGATTTGAGGGAGCACATGGATTAGAGGTGAGCTCTGGTGGGAGAAGCCGCCCATCAAGCGCCAGGCAGGGAGCAAGAGATTAACAACGTGTGACCCATGGAGCAGAGGATGTCACAATGAGTGCCTGCAGCCAGGAGATGAGGGGTTCAAAGAAGAGCTACTGGGGCACTCAGGAGCACGAACAGGCTCAGGGTGAGGGCGTGTGTGGTATTTTCAGGGTCTCCAGGACTAAGGAGGAAAATGATGAATTTGACTTTATGTTTTTAGAAGGTGAATTTATTATTTTATGATATTTTATTAAAGAATACTATATTAAACTATACTAAAGCCTAGAGAAAGGATACAGACAGAAGGCTACGAAGAATGATAATGAAAATTCGTGACTCCTTCCAGAGTCCCGACACAGCCTGACTGTGATTGGTCATTAAGTGAAAACAATTCACATGAAACTGATAAAACATGCACCTGTTGGTAAACAATGTCTAAACCACATTCCAAAGCAGCAAAACACAGGAGAAGCAAATCAGATAATAATTGTTTGCATTTTCCTCTGAGGCTTCCACAGCCTGACTGTGATTGGTCATTAAGTCAAAACAATTCACATGAAACTGGTCAAACATGCACCTGCTGGTAAACAATGCCTAAACCACATTCCAAAGCAGCAAAACACAGGAGAAGCAAATCAGATAATAATTGTTTGCATTTTCCTCTGAGGCTTCTCAGCTTCCCAGGAAAGAAATCCTGGCGAAGGGATTTTTCAAGAAAATATGATAGTGACAGGGGTGCTGTTCCTGGAAGTGCTCCCAGCACAGAGCTCGGCAGTGCCGGGCAGTGGCGGGCTGGGAACGCTGGAGGGAGCATGGTGAAAGAGGCAGCAGAGAGGAATTCTGATGATTTTCCTTCTATTCCATGAGTGCAGTGTGTTTGTATTCTTAGTATTGCTCAAAGCCTGGGCTTTGTGGGATCATGGAAAACTGGGATGGTTTGGATTGGAAGGGATCTTAAAGCTCATCCTCTTCCACCTCCTGCCGTGGGCAGAGACACTTTTCACTGTCCCAGGTTGCTCCAAACCCCCTCCAACCTGGCCTTGGTCTCACCTTGATGTAAGTGAAGAGGAGAAAAACCCATAGGAAGCATTGACAGGAGACTGAAGGCTTTGCAGGTTTCTTGTTTTTGGTTTTTCATGAAATCTGGAGTGAATTTAATGGTGAAGGTTTGGGAGTAGGAAGAAAATGGATCTATCCACTTGGAGGTTTGTAACTCAGGGAAAAGTCAGCCTGGACATTTTGAGAACTGTCATGTAACAGCCTTTGAATGAGTAATGACCATACTGGGAGGAAGGGTGGTGGAGTTCAGGGAATCATGGAGGAGCCACTTTGCCTCCAGTCCCTGGGAAAACCCTGCAGA